TTTTTTTGTGGCCAATTGGAGATAAAAGTCTCACAGACGTTCCTGCCCAGGCTGGCTTTGAATCGTGATCCTCAGATCTCAGCCTCCTAAGAAGCTAGGATTACAGGTGTGAGCCACAGGCACTCAGCTCTTACTTGTTTGTTGTTGTTTTCTAGTGTGGCCACTAAGAAATGTTACGTAACCCAGTAGCTTGCGCTCTATTCTACTGGTGAATAGGAGGTTACAGGCCTAGACTGACAAGCATTGGGGAATACCAAGAGGAGACTTCCAGCCTGGCTTTGGGGGCTAGCTAGTTTGGGAGGATCTGCGGCATAAGGTGGTGGATTTTCAGAAGTTGGATCACATAGCAATAGTCAGACCTATCTCCCGTGCACCCCGAACACATAACCCACTCCTGGTGCTCATAGCCTGCCTGGAGACTCTGTGAGGAAGCTGGTACATGTGCCAATAGCTCTTTTCTATGTATGGGGGGGGGGGAGAAGCCGTCAGCTCAGCCCGGGGGAGTCCCAGGGAAGCCTCACATGACCGCTTCCTCCTCTTTGTCTTTTCTCCCAGCCCTTGGCGTCTTGCTGGCTGTGTCAGGATGGGAAGTAACAAATTCTAAAGGTGAGTCTGTCTACTCAAACACCAAGGGAAAGGAAGTGGGGCTATAGGACTTTGAGGGAGGGAAAGGGGACAGGGAGCGGGGAAGAATGTCTTTTCTTTTTTTCTTTTTCTTTTTTTTTTTATCGCTCGTGGGGCTTGAACTCTGGGCCTGGGCGCTGTCCCTGAGCTCTTCAGCTCTGGGCGCTGTCCCTGAGCTCTTCAGCTCAAGGCGAGTGCTCTACCACTTGAGCCACAGCAGCCACTTCCGGCCTTTTCTGCTTATGTGGTGCTGAGGAATCAAACCCAGGGCCTCAAGCATGCCAGGCAAGTGCTCTACCACTGAGCCACCTTCCCAGCCCAGAAGAATGTCTTCTCAAGTGAGAGAGGACTGAGCCTCGGCCACTTTCTTGTGTTCTTTGGATAATGAATATTTCCTGTGCTCCGTCCTCACCACCCATCACCATCATTTTCAGCACCAGCACCAATAGCACTTGCAAATAGTTAGGGTGGTGCTCGACCACTTGAGCCACACACCTCCACTTCTGGCTTTTTGGTGGTTCATTTGAGATAAAAGGCCTTCTGAACTTTCCTGCCTGGGCTGATCATCCTGAACCCCAAATCCTTAGCTTTCAGCCTCCTGAGTAGCTAGGGGTGAGTAGGCATGAACCTCGGGTACCCAACTGTCAGGGATCATTTCTTGGACAAATGAATGAGCAAATGAACAAATAGACCTGTGTTCTGTGCAGCTCCCTGTCCCCACTGCCATGTCTATGCTGACTGCCACAATACCACCCACTGCATCTGTAAGCCTGGATTCCAGCCCGCCTCTGGGCCAGGCCCCTTCATCTGGCCCCAGGAGGCATGCAAAGGTAAGAATGCCACTCAGTAGAAGAAGCCATCATGGTGTGGAGTGTGTGTGTGTGTGTGTGTGTGTGTGTGTGTGTGTGTAAAACACACCCCCTCCCCACAGCCTCCAGAGGATCAGAGGGCCTCAGAAGATACTTCAAGAGGTACAGCAATTAGTCAGGTATATTTTTTCCCCCAATCCTGGGGCTTGAACTCAGGGTTTAAGCACCGTTCCTGAGCTTCTTTGTGCTCAAGGCAAGCAATCTACCATTTGACCCACATAGCACCACTTGCAGCTTTTTCTGAATAGTTTTTTGGAGATAAGAGTCTCACAGACTTTCCTGTCCGGGTTGGCTCTGAACTGGGATCCTCAAATCTCAGCCTCCTGAGTAGCTAGGATGACCGGTATAAGTCATTGGCGCCTGGCTTAGCCGTCTCCATGTTTGGATAGAAAGAGGAAGCATGCGGCATCAGCCCAGAGCAGAGTCAGTCTGTGGGTTTCCTTTCTTGAACCTCAACTCTTGCCCATTAGCTGCTAAACCAAGAGAGACTCAGAGCACAGATTCTGTGAGCCAGGACATAAGGGATATGGTCCTTCTGTGTCTCATGACATGTTTTCTACTTTATTCCACTACCAATCCCTGGTGTTGGTTTATGTTTTGTTGTTCTGTTTTATTTTGTTTTGTTTTTGTGCAAGTCTTAGGACATGAACTCAGGGCTTAGGTGCTGTCCCTGAGCTTGTTTGCTCACGCTCCAACTGTACCACTTGAGTCACAGCTCCACTTCCTACTTCATAGTGGCTCATTGGAGGTGAGACTCACAGACTTTCCTGCCTGGGCTGACTTTGAACCCCTGACCCTCAGATCTCAGCCTCCTGAGTAGCTGGGATGAAAAACCACTGGCACCTGTCAAGCTCCATACTTTGATAAACCATGTTGGGCCATGAGAACTCTGTGGAGAAGAGGACATGGCAGAGTTCTTGAAGAGTAAACGTAGGTTTCCTCTTGCCCGTCAGACATTGATGAGTGCCAGACACAGCAGGCGCGCTGCAGGAAAAAATCTTACTGCAAGAACAAGATTGGGAGCTACCTCTGCAGCTGTGTGGTAGCGGTGCCTTGGCTCAACTGGGTGGCCAGCATCATTGACATCGAACATCCACAGTGTTACAGTAAGCATCTCCAAATACGCCTTCCATCATGAAAGAAAAGGGGGAGGGGGGGCACAGACTTTGGGGTAGAAATTCCTCTGGGCCCACTGGTATGATAAGTTTGAGTTCTCCTAAAAAACAAGTATAATAAATCTTTTAAAGAAAAAAAAAAAAAAAAAGGCCGGGCACCAGTGGCTCATGCCTGTTATCCTAGCTACTCAGGAGGCTGAGATCTGAGGATCATGGTTCAAGGCCAGCCAGGGCAAGAAAGTCTGTGATACTCTTATCTCCAATAAACCACCAGAAAACTGGAAGTGGTGCTGTGGCTCAAGTGGTAGAGCGCTCGCCTTCAGCCAAAAAGCTGAGGGACAGCGCCCAGGCTCACAGTTCAAGTCCCATGACCAACAAAAAGAAAAAAAAAAAGAGGGTAAAGCCAGGTGCTAGTGGCTCAAACCTGTCATCCTAAGTTCTCAGGAGGTTGAGATCTGAGGATGGCAGTTCAAAGCCAGCCTGGGCAGAAAAGTCTATGAGACTCTTATCTCCAATGAACCGCCAGAAAACCGGAAGTGGCGCTGTGGCTCAAGTGGTAGAGTGCTTGCTTTGAGCAAAAGAGCTCAGGAACAGCAACCAGGCCCTGAGTTCAAGCCCCAGGATGGGCACCCCCCCCAAAAAAAAGGCGGGGGGTAGGAGACCATAGCTGGTGACAGCAACACCAGCCTCAAGGCAGAGTAAGAGAGCAGAGCTGTGTCCCAGCCTCTGTCCCTCATTGCTGTGCTGTCCCCCATCTTTCCCAGAGCGAGGCTGTGTAAACCAAACCGCCTAGCAAGTCCCAGCTCTGCACACTCCTTGGGAATGCACGGCTGCCTTACAAGCCACTCTCCTTCCATTCCAAAAGGACTGGCTTCACGTTCTTCTGAACTTGGTTTTTTGAATGGGTGTGTATGTTGGTCCTGAGGCTTAAACTTAAAGCTTGGATGCTGTCCCTGAACTTTTCTGCTTCAGGCTGGCGTTCAGCTACTTGAGGCACAGCACCACATCTGGCTTTTTTTTTGTAGTTCATTGGAGATCAGAGTCTCATGGAATTTCCTGCCTGGGCTGGCTTTGAACTGTGGACCTCCAGATCTCAGCCTCCTGAGTAGCTAGGATGACAGGCGTGAGCTACCAGAGCCCAGCTCACAATTCTGCTTCTTGAAAGCAAGTGCATGAAAGCCCTGGACTCGCCCCTGGTGGTTCAGCAGAGCTAGCCTCCATTTCCTAGGGACGTGAGCGTCTCTGGTTTGCTCCAATGTCGCACAGAGCTGGGAACGGCTAGAGGGTTTGAAGGGGAAGCTGCAGGGTCACAGACTCAACATGCTGTCCCCTTTGTAGATGAACTGTCCCCAGGCCACACGGAAGGGGAAACGGTTCCACAGCAGGGTGAGTACCCAGATTCAGGACCCTGGCTAACAATTCCAGATTCCTACTTCCTGGTGTGCTCCTGAATCCCTGCCTCCCAGGAACTCAGGAATTTGACCTGTGGGGAAAGAGGGTCTGTGAGGATGTGGTCAAATCAAGAAGAGTCTGTGCAAGATGAGGGAGTACAGCCAAGCAGGGTGGCTCATCCCCTTAATCCCAGCTACTCAGCAGGCTGAGATCTAGAGGATCACAGTTCAAAGCCAACTTGGGAACAACAGTCCAAAAAAGATTCTTCTCTCCAAAATAGCCAGCAAAATGTCTGGATGGAGATGCGGCTCAAGTGGTAGAGCGCCAGCCTCACAAGTAGGCTATGTGTTCAAATCCCAGTTACACACACACAACACACGCACACACATACACACATAAATTAAAGTGGGCTCTAAATTCAATATAATCAGTAACCTGATTTCTTTTTCAAAAATTTTATTGTGATTAAATGATTACATAATTTCACAGTATTGTGGGATAGTGATGCTTAGTTTAAGTCGCAAACACATTCTAACCTTCATGGGGCAAATTGTCTATGGTGGTCTATAACGATTATGAGTTCTATGGGCTTTGATTATATAGTTATGTCTTCCACATCAGGTGAAATGTACATTCCTTTCTTTTTGCATAGTGTCAGCTGTTCCCTCCTTCCCTCTCATTCCCTCCCTCCCATCACTGCCATTGAGTTGTTTGGTTTGTTTTGATCAATGTCCAGGGCAGATGATGGGTTGTATGTTTTCCCTCTGATTCTGTGTCCTCCTCCTAGTTCCCTCCGATGTGCCCATATATACTACATATGTGGTCATCAGCATGGGGTCATTTAGTAATGATTCGACCAGATGAGTGGAGGTCCTTTGTTTCTCGAGTCTTGTTTACTTTGTCGTATCACCTTATATTTTGGATTTAGCATCCACTTATCAGGGAGACCATGTGCCGTTTGTCTCTTTGGTCTTGACTTACCTCACTCAACATGATTCCTTCTAGTTCCATCCATTTCCCTGCAAATGCCATTATTTTGTCCTTTCTAATGTCTGTATAATATTCCACTGTATATAGATACCACAATTTTTTGGCTCCATTCATCTGTAGTGGGGCATCTGGGTTGTTTCTATATCCTGACTATTGTGAACAGTGCTGCAGTGAACATGGAGTTGTCCTTGTATCATGGTTCCTGTTGTTCAGGATAGATATCTTGGAGTGGTATGGCTGGGTCATGGGGGAGGTCATTATTTAGCTTTCTGAGGACCTTCCAGACTGCTTTCCAAAGTGATTGTATAAGTATACATTCCCACCAGCAGTGTAATAGGGTTCCTCTTTCTCCGCATCCCCGCCAGCATTTGTCATTGGCTGACTTTAGGATGTGGGCCATTCTGGCTGGGGTAAGGTGGTATCTCAGGGTTGTCTTTATTTGCATTTCCTTTACAACCAGGGATGGTGAACATTCCTTTATGTGTTTCTTTGCCATTTTTATCTCTTCTTCTGAGCAGTCTCTCTTTAGTTCCCTTGACCATTTAGTAATTGGTTTGTTAGGTTTGGGAGGGATTAGTTTCTTGAGTTCCCTGTATATACTGGATATTAACTCCTTGTCTTATATATTGCTGGTAAATATTTCCCCCAGTTAGTTGGCTGTCTTTCTAGTTTGGCAGCTATGTCTTTAGCTGTGCAGAAGCTTTTTATTTTAAGGTAGTCCAATTTGTCGAGTCTCTCTCCAACTTGTTGTGACCCTGGGACTCTGTTCAGGAAGTTCCTGCCTGTGCCTGTAAGTTCAAGTGTCTCTCCTACTCTGTCCTGCAGTAGTTTCAGAGATTCAGGTTTAATGTTAAGGTCTTTAATCCATTTTGAGTTGATGTTAGTGCATGGTGACAGGCTGGGGTCCACTTTTAGTCTTCTGCATGTGGCCGCCCCGTTTTCCCAGTATCAGTGGTTGAAGAGGCTGTATTTCTTCCATTGTATGTCTTTGGCTCCTTTGTCAAATATCAGCTGACTGTAGGCGTGTGGTTTTATTTCTGGATCTTCTCTTCTATTCCATTGGTCTTCGGGTCTGTTTTTGTGCCAGTACCATGCTGTCTTTGTTATGGCTCATAGTAGAGTTTGAAGTCCAGAAACAAGATCCCACCCATGTTGTCTTTTTTGCCTAGACTTGTTTTGGCTATTCTAGGTCTTTTGTTGTTCCATATGAATTTTTGGACTGTTTTCTGTATTTCAGAAATGACATCATTGGGATTTTAATAGGAATTGTGTTGAATTTGTATATTAATTTTGGCAGCACGGCCATTTTCACTATAATTAAGGCTGCCTATCCAAGAACATGGAAGGTCTTTCCATTTCCTAGTGTCCTCTGTAATTTCTTTCTTTAAGTTTTTATAGTTTTCATTAAATAGCTGGGATTCTGGGCCTGGGTTATCAGCCCTTGTCCCATTTTGGACTTAAAAAAATTTTTTTTGCTTGTCCTCATCTTAGGGCTTGAACTCAAGGCCTATGCATTGTCCATGAGACTTTCAGTGCTCAAGCTAGCACTCTACCGCTTGAGCCACAGCACCACATGAAGCTTTTCCTGAGTAGTTCATTGGAAATCAGAGTCTCATGGAATTTCCTGCCCGGGCTGGCTTTGAACTGTGATCCTCCAGATCTCAGCCTCCTGAGTAGCTAGGATGACAGGTGTGAGCTGCCAGAGCCCAGCTCACAATTCTGCTTCTTGAAAACAAATGCATGGAAGCCCTGGACTCGCCCCTGGTGGTTCAGCAGAACTAGCCTCCATTTCCTAGGGACGTGAGCATCTCTGGTTTGCTCCAGTGTCGCACAGAGCCGGGAACGGCTAGAGGGTTTGAAGGGGAAGCTGCAGGGTCACAGACTCAACATGCTGTCCCCTTTGTAGATGAACTGTCCCCAGGCCACACGGAAGGGGAAATGGTTTCACAGCAGGGTGAGTACCCAGAGCCAGGACCCTGGCTAGCAATTCCAGATCCCTGCTTCCTGGGCTAGTTGCTGTGCTCCTGAATTCCTGACTCCCAGGGACTCAGGAATGTGACCTGCAGGGAAAGAGGGTCTGTGAGGATGTGGTCAGGTGAAAGTGAGTCTGTGCAAGGTGAGAGCAGAGCCAAGCAGGGTGGCTCATTCCTGTAATCCTAGCTACTCATCAGGCTGAGATCTGGAGATCACAGTTCAAAGCCAACTTGGGAACTACAGTTCAAAAAGACTCTTCTCCCCAATGTAAACAGCAAAAAGTCTGGGTGGAGTTGTGGTTCAAGTGGTAGAGCACCAGCCTAACAAATAGGGTATGTGTTCAAATCCCAGTTACAGACACACACACACACACACACACACACACACACACACGCATTAAAGTAGTCCCTAAGTCTAATATAATCGACGACCTGACTTTTTTTTTTTTACAAAAAGAGGGAGAATTAAGTTACAGAGACAAGATGGAGAGACTGGATCTCTAATGCCACAAACCAATCTGAGGATGCCCAATAGCTCCCCCATTTTCCATTCATTTAACAGTTTTCTTTGTGAGTCCTTCCCTGCACCCCACAATGTGTTGGGGCCTCTGTGTGAGCACCCAAGGACTTTCAAATTTTTTAAGAGGAATATCAACTGTAAGACAATTTGTAGCTCAAGTGGTAGAGCACTCGCCTTGGGCTGAAGAGCTGAGGGACAGCGCTCAGGCCCAGGGTTCAAGCCCCACGACTGACCAAAAAAAAAAGACTTTACAATGATGTTCTTCCTTTTTTCTTTTTTGTTTTGTGCTGGTAATTTGTAAAGTCAATCATCCAAGAAGCCACATTTTAAAATATAGAATATTGGAGTCTTTATTATACAGTTAACAGCTGCAGGCCGCCAGTTCTTACCAAGGCCTGCAGCACACAGATACATATAACACAGCTAGGAAACATACTGAAGAGGAAAGAGATAATAAAAGCAATACCAACAAGCCAATTCGGCTGAACTGGGACCCCATGATGACCGGAGATGAGCCAGGAGATAGGACACAAGATACGATCACAGAGACACACATGGCATGGAGTCATGGCGGCTAGGCTGGTCTGGGCCTAAATAGTTCCCTGCAGGAGGCAGATCCTCAGGAAATTCCCAGTCCCAGGCACTGGATTGACAGATTCAGTAACCTATCATCAGCCAAGTGCCTGCTCCTGCCTCCAGGAGTCTGGGCACGCCCATTACCTGGGAGGCAGGTGATGGGGGTGGGGTGGGGGGAGGGTTTCCTTCCCCCAGCATGAAGACAAGATGCCAGACCTATAATCTACCATGTAGCCAATATGGTGCCAGCCAGACCTGGCCTCCTTACTTCAGTAACAGGGCTTAAACGCAGGGCCTGAGCACTGTCCCTCTTCCTTTCCACTCAAGGCTGGTGCTCTACCACCTAAGTTTCTGACTGTTTGCTGGGTCATTGGAGATAGGTGTTTTATGGATTGCCCTGTCCTGGGCTGGCTTGGAACCATACTTAGATCTCCTCTGCCTTACTAGCTGGGATTAAAAGCATGGGTTACCAGCTCTTGTCTCATTTTAGACTGTTCCCCGCCCCCCCTCCCCCCCCCCTCTGGTCCTGATCCTGTGGCTTTTTTACTTTTAATTTTTTTGTCGGTCATGAGGCTTGAACTCTGGGCCTGAGCACTGTCCCTGAGCTCTGCAGCTTAAGGCAAGCGCTCTACCACTTGAGCTACAGTGCCACTTCCGGTTTTCTGGTGGTTTATTGGAGGTAAGAGCTTCATAGACTTTCCTGTCGAGGCTGGCTTTGAACCGTAATCCTCAGATCTCAGCCCCCTGAGTAGCTAGGATTCCAGGCGTGAGCCACTGTCACCTGGCTTTATTTTTATTTGTTGGTAATGGGACTGGGCACTCTCCCTGAGCTCTTCAGCTCTAGTCTAGCACTCTATCACTTGAGCCACAGCACCATTTCCAGTTTTCTGGTGGTTAATTGGAGATGAGGTGCCTCACAGACTTTCCTGCCCATACTGGCTGTGAACTGTGATCCTCAGATCTCAACCTCCTGAGTAGCTAGGATTCCAGGCGTGAGCTACCGGAGCCCAGCGGTCCTGGGGCTTTAAGGTCAGGGTCTGGATGTTGTCCCTGAGCCTCTCTATGCTCAAAGCTAGGGCTCTACCACTTGAGCCACAGTGCAACATGCAGCTTTTCTGAGTAGTTTATTGGAGATAAGAGTCTCTTGGACTTTCCTGCCCTGGCTGGCTTCAAGTAGTGATCCTCAGATCTCAGCTTCCTGAGTATCTAGGATGACAGGCGTGAGCCACCAGTGCCCAGCCTTTTGGACTTCTTAGGGGGAATCGGCATGGACTGCAGGAACCTCAGGGGTGGATGTGTTTTCTCTACATCTCATGAAATTGTCCTCTTTCCTCCCCAGAAGACCAGGGCACAGAGACAGGAGGAACGGCCACGCCTCAAGTGAATATTTGGGTGAGTGTGGTCAAGTTTGGCTCTGGGAAGCATCGGGTTAGACTGACCTGGCCACTCTGCTATTCAAGCATTGCGCCGCTCACCAGTTACTTTCACACTGGCCTAGGTCCCACTTGGGGAAAGTTTTGCCTCTTTCCTGAAAGGCGGTGGGAAATATCTAAGTTTTAAACTGGAGAGGTGGCAGCTACTCAAGAGGCTGAGATCTGAGGATCATGGGTTGAAGTCAGCCCGGGCAGGAAAGTCTGTGACACTCAACTAACCACCAGAAAATTGGAAGTGGAGCTAGAGTGCTAGCCTTAAGCAAGGAGCTGAGGGACAGTGCCCAAGCTGAGTTCAAGCTCTACAAACAACAATAACGTCTCATGGACTTTTCTTTTCTACCCAAGCTAGGCTTTGAACCTTGATCCTCCAGATCTCAGCCTTCTGAGTCACTCAGAGGCACTGTGCCTGATCCTATTCTTTCTTAACTAAGTTTCCATGAGTGTTCACCTACTTGTTTTTGTTTCTTGGAAAGAGAGCTATGGATAAAAACGGAAACAGAAAAGACTTTGCGAAGAATGTCACCCAAATGCTTCGACGTGTAGAATTCTTCATATGGAATCAAAGTTCTGATTTTCCAACAAAAGGAGAATATCCGGAGCTTGATATAGGTAAGAAATGCCAAGCAGATTCCTTCCAGCTACAGTAAGAGGCTGGGGGGGCAGGGGGTCCTGGTGTTTTCTGCGTCCCCCATGAGATCTCTCTGCTCCCAGACTACAAACATGTCCACATCAGCACTTGGTGTGGCTGGGGCTCTTCTTGCAAAATGCCCAAATGCACGTGGGGCTGTGGATTAGTAGCTCCCACCTGCAAGCCTACTACATAGGAGGCTGAGAGCTGAGGATCATGGTTCAAAGCCAACCCCGGGGAGGAAAGTCTGTGAGATTCTTATCTTCAATAAACCACCTGAAAGCTGGAAGTAGAACTGTGTGGCTCAAGGGGTAGAGTGCTAGCCTTGAGCACAAAAGTTCAGGGACAGTGCTCAGGCTCTGAGGTCAAGCCCCAGGACTAGCGCATGCACACACTCATACACACACACACACACACACACACACACACACACCAAAAAACCTGAGCAATCAACTTAAAGGTTTGTAGGGACAAAGGTTTCAGTTCATGGTCACAATATAGGCCGTCAAAAAGCCCACGTGACCCACTTCCTCCAATGAGCCCTTTACTTTCCAGTTTTACCACCTCCCAAATATCGCCATTGAATTGCGAATCTCCCATGAATTTATCTAGGGCTGAGGTCAGAGCCTGCTCCGCCCCCCCCTCCCCCCCAGCCAATCACCCTTCAGCAGAGCCTTCAGCTAGAGCCACGCCTTCCACACCTGACTTTGGGATAAACCAGCTCTCTTCTCATTTCCAACTTCCGTTAGAGTACAAGAATGTGCTCCCAAAAGGGTTTTGATTTGTCTTGTGCCTGTATTGGGGCTTGAACTCAGGGCACTGTCCCTGAGCCTCTTTTGCTCAAGGCTAGCCACAACACTACTTCTAGTTTCCTGGTGGTTCATTAGCAATAAGAGTCTCATAGACTTCCCTGCCTGGGCTGGCTTTGAGCCACGATCCTCAGATCTCAGCCTCCTGAGTAGCTAGGATGACAGGGCGTGAGACACTGGCACCTGGCAAGCAAGCAGTTCTCTAACAAGTGTTATTAGCCCTGAGAGGCAGGGCCGGGGCCCGGTGCTCATCATCCCATGTCCCCAGTCTATGAAACCAAGAGATGCGACCAGAAGACTGTTCTGGTAGCTGGAAACAACACAATGGACATCGACTGCGCCAGCACCCTCACGGGATCTGGAAGGGAAGGTAAGGGTGGGGAGATGAACGCTCTGGGCGCTGTCCTGGGTGGCTGGACCCTCGGGTGGGGCTCGCAGCGTCCTCAAGTAAGAGAGACTCTCACAACACCTCAGGCACACGGCAAATCCATGGGCGCCATGAGATGTTCAGGTTGCACTGAGGTGCCTTTCACCACAAATTCTGTTTTCTCGATGACCCCACAGGGGTGCGTCCGCCCAGTCGCTGCAGCCCCCACCCCCTCACCTGTGTGTCTCGTTTTCAGGTGGCGGTAAGGTGGCTCTCATCACTTACCAGACTCTCGGGAACTTTCTGAACGAATCCTTCTTCCATCACAGAAAAGGGATGCGGGGAGTCAGGCTGAACTCTCAGGTCGTGACTGGCACCCTTGGCTCAGAAGGCAAAATCCACCTGTCAGACCCCGCACTGCTGACCTTTCAACACACTCAGGTGAGCAGGACCCACGGTGAGTTGGAGGTTCGTGGGTTTCACCAGCTTTCACCCAAATCCAGCTGCAAGCACTGATAGGTAAGAGGGCTGAGAAGACATGTCAAAGCACCCAACTATGCATCCCACAAGCCAAAGCTCAGAGACAGCACCCAGGCCCTGAGTTGAAGTCCCAGAACTACCACCACCACCAACAACAACAACAAGGAGAATAAATTCCTCCTAACCCCCCACACCCCGCCCCAGCAACTGTGGTGAGACCAAACTTCCCCACCCATGCTCTTCCAAGCTGGTCCCTAACTCAGTACCTCGGATGAAATCATGAACTCAAAAAGATGAAATCACCTTCACACCGTCTCTTTCCAGCATGGCACCCTGAGAAGAAAGTGCTTGTGTGTGTCCTGGGAAGGATCCAAAGAAGGGGGCAGCTGGTCCACCGAAGGCTGCTCTCCAGTGAGAAGTAACGATTCTTACACCACGTGCAAGTGCTACCACCTATCTAGCTTTGCTGTCCTCATGGCACTGGCCCCCAAGGTATCAAGATTCATGGGTCCTGGAGCTCATCTTACACTCATTTTAGGAAAATTGTGTGTGTATGTGTGAGTGAGTGCCAGTCCTGGGGCTTGAACTCAGGGCCTGGGGTGTTGTCCCTGAGCTTTTCTGTTCAAGGCCAGTGCTCTACCACTACAGCCACAGCTCCACTTCCAGCTTTTTGTTGGAGATAAGAGTGTCAGGGACTTTCCTGCCCAGGCTGGCTTTGAACCGAGAGCCTCAGATCTCAGCCTCCTGAGTAGCTAGGATTACAGGCATCACCGCCAGTGCCCAAATTAGAAAAAGACTCTTCGGGGGTCGCCTGGTCGTAACCTGCGAAGTGACCTCAGGACATGGCAGTAGAAGGCGAGGGGCACGAAGTGGAGGGAAAACAAGGTGAGGTGGAGAGTGTTCTGCTGGGGGCAGAAGCTGGGGCTTCTCTTCCTCTCCCGTGGTGATGGATCGTGCATGTACCACCCCGGCTCCACCCATTGCTTGAGAGGGCACCCTGGGCATGATGGGAGGAGGAATCATTTGAATAGGTGCCCAAAGCATCATGGGAGCAAGAACCACAATGATGGGATGCAGGTCATCGGCCGTGTGTTCTGTCCGCCATCTCCATCCCCATGTACATAACAGTCCCTTCTCTGGGAGTCAGTGTGAAGCTCACCCCTCAGAGTTGTCACAATTGAGAGGTGAGGAGCTGGGGTACCATCTGCCCCCTGGCTCTGGGTAGGTGTGTGGGGGGGTGTCCTTCATGGCTGTTAATGGCCTGACACTTTGTGAGCGGGAGTGGAGGGGGCTCAGGCCAGCGAGGGAAGTCCTGCACATCTGGCCATGGTAAGTAACATGGACAGAGGATTGGAAGTGCTCTTTGACTAGGCGCTGGGGGCTCGGGAGGCTGAGATCTGAGGATGGCAGTTCAAAGCCAGTCTGTGAAACTCTTATCTGCAATGAACCACCAGAAAACCAAAAGTGGCGCTATGGCTAAACATGGTTAAGAGTGCTAATCTTGAGCAACAGAGTTGAGACCTCGCACGGGCTCTGAGGTCAAGCCCCATGACTGACCAAGACAAAAGGCTCCAAGGGGATTTTGTTCCTGATAACGGGAACTGTACTGTCTCTCTCCTCTGGCGGCTTGCAGGCAGACTTCGCCCTGTCTGTGATCACCTGCGTGGGGCTGAGCGTATCGCTGCTGTGTCTCCTCCTGGCGGCCCTCACCTTCGTCCTGTGCAGGCCCATCCACAACACGGGCACCACGCTCCACCTGCAGCTCTCTGTCTGCCTCTTCCTGGCACACTTGCTTTTCCTCACAGGCATCAACCGAACTGAGCCGGAGGTGAGCGGTGTCATTGAGTGATCTCATTGCCAATCAAAAGATGACGAGGAAGAGACATTCATCAGAGGAACGGGGTAGGAGAAAGAGAAAGAAAAACCAAACTAAAGAACCAAACTACAGATCTTAAGGTTTCTTCCTGCAGAACGAGACCACATTTTCTGAGTGTCTGTTTATTCACTGGATGTCCAACTGGTGGAATTACTTCAGGTTAACATTAGCTGCTGTAACAAATAAGCCCCCAGCATATCAGAGGCTTAGCACAGTCCTCATTTCCTGTAGATGCGTCAGGGGTGAGCAGATTGAAAAGTTGTCGATCCTTCACTTCCAAGCTGAAGGAGACTCTTCCAAGGCTATCCTGTTTTAAACAACACAATGGGCAAAAAGAGCATCGCAGAGTGCTTTTAGAAAGGCTTAGGTTTATATGGAATGCACAGACTACTTCAGCTCGTGTGTGTGTGTGTGTGTGTGTGTGTGTGTGTGTGTGTGTGTGCTGGCACTGGGCTTGAACTCAAGGCCTGCGTGCTTCCCTTAGCTTTTTTTTTTTTTTCAATCAAAGTTGATGCTCTACCTCTGGAGCCACAGGTCCACTTCTGACCTTTGAGATAGGAATCTCACAAGTTTTTCCCTTCCTAAGCTGGCTTTCAACCATGAGATCTCGGCCTCCTGAGTAGCTAGGATTACAGGTGTGAGCCACTGGCGCCCACCTTACATTGACTTCCGAGAGAAAATAGGATGTAAGATTCTTATTTTTCTGTTGCTGTGTCCATCATGTATTTGTGAGCTTCTCCAGTGACATTTATTCCATGTCATTTCTGGCCTGCTGTGCTCACGGGAAAAGCTAATTCCAATGGCCAACAGATACTCCCAGAAATTGGACAGCCTCCTGGCAAAGGGCCATAGGGGTTGGAGGTTGCCGGTCCAAGCCAAACTCTAAGCAAGACACCAAGAAGATAGTGAGAGCCAGGTGCTGGTGGCTCACACCTATAATCCTGGCTATTCAGGAGGCTGCAATCTGAGGATCATGGTTCAAAGCCAGCCCAGGCAGGAAAGTCCATGAGACTCTTATCTCCAATGAACCACAGGGAAAAGGGAAGTGGCGCTGTGGTTCAAAGTGGTAGAGTGCTAGCCTTGAGCAAAAAGAGCTCAGGGACAGCGCCCAGGCCCTGAGTTCAAGCCCTACAACTGACAACAACAACAAAGAAAGTGAGATCTGGCCCGCACGCGCCCCCACTGCCAGCTCCTCTCTCCCTTCTAGACGCTGTGTGCCATTATAGCAGGGGTGTTACATTACCTCTACTTGGCCTCCTTCATGTGGATGCTTCTAGAAGGCCTCCACCTCTTCCTCACCGTCAGGAACCTTAAGGTGGCCAACTACACCACCACAGGACGATTCAAGAAGAGATTCATGTACCCTCTGGGCTATGGAATCCCAGCTGGCATCGTGGCTGTGTCTGCAGCAGTTGGACCTAAGAATTATGGAACCTTTACCCAGTAAGCATGAAGCAGGGGGGCGGGGTTAGAAATGAATTTCAGTGCTATGACACCAGAATGATTTTTGGTTTGTTGTTTGTTTTCTTTTGTTCCTGCTGGTTCTGGGGTTTGAACTCAGGACCTGGGTGCTATCCCTTACCTTTTTTGTTTTTGTTCAAGGCTGGTGCTCTACCACTTGAGCCACACTTCCATTTCTGGCTTTGTGATGGTTAACTGGAAATAAGAGGGTCATATCTTTCCTGCCCAGGCTGGCTTTGAACTGTGATCCTTGGATCTCAGCCTCCTGAGGAGCTAGGATTACAGGCGTGAGCCACCAGAGCCCAGTTTATTTGTTTTTGTTTTTTTTGTCGGTCGTGGGGCTTGAACTCTGGGCCTGGGCGCTATCCCTCAGCTCTTCAGCTCAAGGCGAGCGCTCTACCACTTGAGCCACAGCACCACTTCCGGTTTTCTGGTGGTTTATTGGAGATAGGAGTCTCACGGTCTCTCCTGCCCGGGCTAGCTTTGAACCGCGATCCTCAGATCTCAGCCTCCTGAGGAGCTAGGATTACAGGCGTGAGCCACCAGCGCCCGGCTCAGAGCCCAGTTTAAAATGTTGGTTTCATCATAGCGGTCATTCTCATCCTAACAATCCTTGTGGTCATCAGTGTATTTAGCATGTCTTACCTCTTTGCCAGGATCTATGTGTCCTCCAAACCCTCCCAGACATTCCATCTTCCCTACAAGTTCTATGACAGAAAAGCCACACAGGTCTACTGAGAGAATTCAAAGAAGATGGACACAGGTGGAGAGACAGTCCGTGATCATGGACAGGCAGATTCAATCTTGTAAATCTGATTCCCACTTTATCTACAGAATCGATGCATCTCCAATTAAAAAAAAATTCCCAGGAAATATGTTGTGCCCATTCATGAAAATGCTTCTAAAGTTTATATGCAGAGAAGACCCAGAGTAGCCGACATGAAATTGAAAAGGAGGAGACTGGCGAGAACCTGAATCTTTGTTAAGATCGAGTCTGCTATAGTCAATCACTTGGTCTTCCTACCAAACTGGCCCTGCTTCATTCTTGGGGAGGCTAAGACACTTGTTTAGGTCTCTGTCTAGAAGCCTGGACTCAAACTCTTCTTCCTCTCTGGAGGAAAAGGTAGCTGATGCCTCTCTTCCTGTCCACAGCTGCTGGCTCAACCTTGATAAAGGATTTATCTGGAGCTTCATAGGACCCGTGGCAGTCATTATCTTGGTATGTGGTAATTATTCATGACTGTGCCTGGTCTTATATGGCCAAGCAGAGTATGTGCTTCTGGGGTGTGTGTGTGTGTGTGTGTGTGTGTGTGTGTGTGTGTGTGTGCACCAGGGCTTGCACTCAGGGCCTGGGCACTACTGTCCCTTAGCTTTTTCATTCAAGGCTAACACTCTACCACTTGAACCACACCTCCACTTTTTTGGTGACTCATCAGAGATAAAAGTCTCCTAAGACTTTCCTACCCAGGTTAGGTTCAAACTGTGATCCTCAGATCTCAGTCTCCTGAGTAGCTAGGATTACAGGTGGGAGCTACCAGTGCCCGGCTATGAATCGTTTTTTTTTTGTGTGTGTGTGGTGCTGAAAATCAGACCCAGGGAAGGTCTCACAGGTGCTAAGCAAGAGGCCAACCTCTGACCTGTGCCTTTAGCGTTCTCTCTCTCTCTCTTCTCTCTCTCTCTCCCCCTCCTCTCTCTCTCTTTCTCTACCCCCCCCCATTAGAAAAGCCTGGCTTTCATTCACTCAGCAAATGGTTATCTCCACAAGGGAACTGGGAACTTGTGGATTACACCTGCTATGGAGATGCATGATAACAGACTTCCATTTCCAGCACCCTGTTTTGAACAATTGAGGATCTATCTGCCCAGCCAATCACCAGGTGCTACAGAGCACTCACTGTGCACAGTACAAACCATACCACATCACGCTGATCCAAAGAAACCTCTGTCCCTGGGGGAACGATTCTCAGATCCAACACAAGTTAGGGTGCCTGAAAGGGTCTCCGCAGAATAGCTCAAGTCGCTTTGTTTCATGCTGCTTCCATCCACAGATAAACTCGGTGTTCTTCTGCCAAATTCTGTGGATTCTGAGAAGCAAAATCGCCTCCCTCAATAAAGAAGTGTCTACCCTTCAGGACACCAGGTAAGGAAAGGGCCATCATCAGTGGTGCCCAGGGATGTGACTTTATAAGACCATTCTTTCTGGGAGAGAAAGCCCATTAAACACAAGGTATAGACTGCACACCAGTGGCTCACCCCTGTGATCCTAACTGCTTAGGAGGCTGAGATCTGAAGATTGAGGTTTGAAGCCATGCTGGGCAGGAAAGTCTGAGATGCCTGTCTCCAATTAACCAGGGGGGGGAAAAAGGAGCTAGAAGTTCAGCTGTGTCTCAAGTGGTTAAATGCCAACATGGAGTGAAAAGGCTAAGGGACAGTGCCCAGGCCTGAGTTCAACTCTCAGTGTCTGCACACATACAAAAACAGATGAGGAGTCCTGGCTCGGTGGTAGAGTACTTGCCTATCCCATGGGTGAGTCCCTGGGTGCAATTTCCAGCACAGAATTCATGTAATAATGGACCTCATTTATTCAGGGAATATTCACTGATTTTTCTCCTTGGTAGACACACTGTATATGAAACCAAATCCAGGAGAATCAATGTTGTCTTTTTATCTCCCTTGAGGGTATATTTACTTCTAAGTTCACTCTCTTTGATAACAGAAATTTAGTCCTCATCGGTATCATTTAAATCTTAAAATAAGAATGAGGAGTTGGAGACATGACTGAGGTGGTACGGCACCAGCTAATAATGAGCAAAAGCATCAGATACCAAGTTCAAGTCCCAGTCTCAGACAAATAATAACAACAACAACAATAATAATAATGTTTATTTGGAACTTGTTATATATAAATGTCCTTTGTCAATATTATTTTATGGAATCCTTTTAACTACAAATCATGGGATTGATATTACTATCCCAGTTATGTCCCAGTTATTAAAATGAATCAAATACATGCTCATCTTTTTTTTGTTTTTGTCATGGGGCTTGAACTCTGGGTCTGGGCGCTGTCCCTCAGCTCTTCAGCTCAAGGCTAGCGCTCTACCACTTGAGCCACAGTGCCACTTTCGGTTTTTCTGGTGGTTAATTGGAGGTAAGAGTCTCATGGACTTTCCTGCCCACGCTGGCTTTGAACCGTAATCCTCACATCTCAGCCTCCTGAGTAGCTAGGATTACAGGCGTGAGCCACCAGCACCTAGCACTCATCTTTTTATAATAAACTCGTTTTTAATTTCTGTGTCAATCCTGGGGTTTGAACTCAGGACCTGGGCACTGTCCCTGAGCCTTTGTACTCAAGGCTAACACTCTACCACTTGTGCCCAGCTCTGCTTCCAACTTTCTGGTGGTTCATTGGAGATAAGAGTCTCACAGACTTTCCTGCTTTGGAATGGCTTTGAACCAGGCGTGAGCCACCAGCACCCAGCTGTGTCTATTTTTATTATTTTTTCCTGTTTATGTGTAACTAAACAATCAAACCCAAGGCCTCATGCATGCTAGGCAAGCAGTCTACCACTAAGCCACCTTCCCAGCCCTTTTATTATTTTTTTTGGGGGGGGTCCAGTCGTGGGGCCTGAACTCTGGGCCTGGGCGCTGTCCCTCAGCTCTTCAGCTCAAGGCTAGCACTCTACCACTTGAGCCACAGCGCCACTTCCAGCTTTTTTTTTTCTTTTTGCTCATGTGGTGCTGAGGAATCGAACCCAGGGCCTCAGGAATGCAAGGCAAGCGCTCTACCACTGAGCCACCTTCCCAGCCCTTTTACTGTTTTTTTAAAAGTTGTACAAAGGGGGCTCATTTTATGTGTACAATGTATCTTGACAGCGCCCTCTTTCCATTGTTCTCCTCCCGGGTCTCTCCCAGCCTCACCCTGCCCCTCATTTCTTAGTTCCATTTCCACAAATGGATATGTGTCTGGAACTGGTTTGTTACACAGATAAAAAACCACACTGCTCAACCTCTGTCTGACCCTGCGTTTGGTCTTATCTACTTACCAAGATGACCTAACATCTCTTCTCCCCAGTTTCTTTCATCCTTAAGGACCTAAGAATATCAGCCTTCTGGGAATTTCCCAACCCTGTACATGTGTGTAAGTGAAGATTCGTGGTGGGGACACACACACACACACACACACACACACACACACACACACACACTGCAAAGTTCTCAGTCAATTGCTAAACACCCAACGCAATTTTTGTTTGAGGAAACCCAGTAGGACACAATATTTTGAAGTCAGGAAATCATCCAAATGCACCCACCCCAAATCCTACAAGACATTGCCCATAAATCTCACAGTGATTCCATGTAGAGGACTTAGTCATCTTCAAGAATGGTCAGCAGCGGTGATTGAAAAGCTGGGCTCAGCCTCATCTTCAAGTAGGTGGCTAGAAAGATCACTCAGCTGGTGGACACTGGTGGGTCACACCTGTAGTCCCAGCTACTCAGAAGGCTGAGATCTGAGGATTGTGATTCAAAGCTAGCCCAGGCAGGAAAGTCCAGAGAGACTCTCATCTCCAATTAACCACCAGAAAACTGGAAGTGGCGCTGTGGCTCCAAGTGGTAGAGCACTAGCCTTGAGCAAAAGAGCTCAAGGACAGCACCCAGGCCCTGAGTTCAAGCCCCACGACTGACAAAAGGAAAAAAAATGCTTATAGATAATAGTTAACATTGCCCTTTTCCTTGCAGACTCATGACATTGAAAGCCATCTCGCAGCTCTTCATCCTGGGCTGTTCGTGGAGTCTTGGCTTTTTCATGGTGGAGGAAGTAGGGGAGGTGGTTGGCTCGGTCATGGCCTACTTGTTCACCATCACCAACGTCCTGCAGGGGGTGTGGCTCTTCGTGGTGCACTGCCTGCTGAACCGCCAGGTGAGCCCCCTCCGCCCCAGGGCACCGCCCAGTGCCTGCTCCCCTTCCCCCCACTTGGTGATGGGTCTCGCGAGATCCATCTTCTACTTGGAATGAGGAACCAGTGCTGCTTGGCCCTGCTGAGTCCTCTGGGCTTACCAACGAATCATCTCCATGGAGCTCTCTTTTTGTTTTTCCTGCCCATGGCGGGACTTGAACTCGGGGTCTCATGTTCTCTTAGCCCTTTCTGCTCATGGCTAGCGCTCTACCCCTTGAGTCACACTTCAACCTTCAACTTTTTGGTGGCGAATTGGAGAGAAGAGTCTCATGGGTTTTCCTGCCCAGGCTGGCTTCAAACCACGATCCTCAGATCTCAGCCTCCTGAGTAGGTAGCATTACAGGCCTGAGCCACCAGGGCCCCGCTTCCACCATTCTCTCGGAAGAGCATGCGTGGGTTGGGGTCAGGGGCCATGTTGCCTCTGGAATTGCCTTTCTGGATGTTTCCTTTGCTGTCAAGTGGAACTGGTAGCAGCCAGTGCCGGTGGTCGAAGGCCCGGCTCTCCCCCACGTCTCCGCACTGCCTGTGGGCTCTGGGTTCTTCCTGCCCAGAAAAAATACAGTTTCAGTTCCCTGGTGAAGCAGGGTTGAGCGCTGACTCCTTCCCTGCCCACGTTCATGTGTCCAGAAGCTAAGCGAGGTTGACTCGGGGCATTTCCGGGCACGCAGTGGCATTTCCGTGTCAGGGCTGTGGGATTAGAATGGCAGATGTGTCCCGGCTTCTGGGTGACCTTGGCTGAGTCCACACACCTTCAAGAGAACTCACTCCGGCAGAGTCCAAGGAAAGGTGGAGGCCTGTCTTCCCTGAGTCGAGGTGAGGGTTAAATGACCAAAGGGCCTCACACATAGCTAGTGTGCCATGAATGGTGCCTCCAGCACCGCATCAGTTACCTTAATGCCCATCACCACCATCACCATTATAACTATCACCACCACCTCCATCACCGTCAAATGATGATCACCAACATCAGCACCAATATAACCACCATCACCATCATCCTCATCCCCTTCCCCGTCACCACCATGGCCACCACTGCCCATCAAGGTCTTGAAGTCATCCAACACAAATACCTTTCCACAATGGAGATTAAGTTTCAATCAAATGAATCCCCCTGAGTGTGGCCAAGACAACAAGAAGGAAATGACCAGGACGTGCCAGGGGGGGACTTTGTTCTCTCGTTGTTGGGTCCACCTGCTGTAACCCTGGCTTCTCTCTCTCTCACACACTCTCAGGTGCGGATGGAATACAGGAAGTGGTTTAGTGGAATGCGGAAAGGGGCTGAGGCTGAGAGCACGGAGATGTCCCATTCCACCACCCACACCAAAATAGTAAGAGCAGCTCCCAACCCTCAGAAGGCCTCCTCCCAACCCAGCACTGGGTTGGCCCGGAGCGCCCAGATCTGAAAGACAATTGCTTAGCTTTGTGACAATCGTTAGCTCCGCACAAGAGCACATAATGCTCTCTCCCTTTCCTTTCTCTTCTCCCTCTTTACTTTCCACATCTTCTTCCCTCTTCTTTCCCCTTGTTTGCCTCTTTCATTTCCTTCGTTCCTTCCTTCCTTCCTTCTTTTTCTTCCTTTTTTCTTTTTGTGCCACTCCTGAGGCTTGAATTCAGGGCCTAGACACCGTCTCTGAGCTTTGATGTTCAAGGCTAGCAACCACTTGAGCCACAGCTCCATTTCCCGTTTCTGGTGGTTTTATTGGAGTTAAAAATGGCATAGACTTTTCTGCCCGGGCTGGCTTTGAACCACAATCTTCAGATCTCAGCCTCCTGAGTAGCTAGCATTGCAGGTGTGAGCCACCCTGGCCTGGCTTTTCTTTAAAGGATTATGTAACTTAAAATGTGTCTCAGCCCGTTTACCCAACACACGTCCATTACCCACTCTGTATGCCCTGTCCAGTCATAGGGACACAGCACCAGACACGTTGGCAGCCCTTTCCTTCCCAGTGTCCACATCCAAGCTGGGTGGATGCACAGAGAGTAAGCCACAATAGCTGAGTCACACAGTCTGTTAGAAAACATTGTTACATTAAAAATACAACAAGCAGCCGGGCACTGGTGGCTCACGCCTGTAATCCTAGCTACTCTGGAGGCTGAGATCTGAGGATCGCGGTTCAAAGCCAGCCCGGGCAGGAGAGACCGTGAGACTCCTATCTCCAATAAACCACCAGAAAACCGGAAGTGG